ACTGTGAAAAGGTCAATCCAAGATGGCGGAGGGGCGGGGCCTTCTCAGCGCCAAACTGGGGCATTCCCAGTTTGGAACTGGAACATAAAAATTTGGGACAAAAAACCAAAATTTGGGGGGGAAAACAGGTCAAAATTTGGAGGGAAAACCATGAAAAGGTCAATCCAAGATGGCGGCGGGGGTGGGGCCAACTGGGACATTCCCAGTTTGGAATTGGGGCATTCCCAGTTTGGAATTGGGACATTCCAAGTTTGGGACTGGGAGCTCCAAATTTGGGGGAAAATCCCGAAATTTTGGGGAAAAAAATGTGGAGGGAAAAGATCAAAAAGGTCAATCCAAGATGGCGGCGGGGGCAGGGCCCCTTCCCAGTATGAACCAGTATAAACCAATAAAAACGAGTATAATCCAATATAAACCAGTACAAACCAGTATAACCAGTATAACCCAGTATAACCCAGTATAAACCAGTATAACCCAATATAAACCAGTATAACCCAGTGCTCCCAGTACAAACCAGTATAACCAGTATAACCCAGTATAAACCAGTACAAACCAGTATAACCCAATATAAACGAGTATAACCCAGTGCTGAGTACCATGCCCCAGTACAAACTGGTATAAACCAGTATAAACCAGTACAAACCAGTATAAACCAGTCCTCCCAGTGCAAACCAGTATAATCCAGTGCTCCCAGCACCCTGCCCCAGTCCAAACCAGTATAAACCAGTATAAACCAGTATAAGCAGTACCCTGGCCCAGCGCCCACGCCGCGTGCCCGTCCACGGCGTCCAGCAGCGCGGCCATCCCCTCCCAGTCCAAACCAGTCCAAACCAGTCCAAACCAGTCCAAACCAGTATAAACCAGTATAAACCAGTACCCTGGCCCAGCGCCCGCGCCGCGTGCCCGTCCACGGCGTCCAGCAGCGCGGCCGCTCCGTAGCAGGCGGCCGCCGGCCCCGGCCGCGTCGGCATCAGCCAGAAGGAGACGGCGGCCAGCAGGATGCGGGCGTAGCCTGGGACCAGTACAAACCAGTATGGACCAGTACGAACCAGTACGGACCAGTACAAACCAGTACAAACCAGTATAGAACAGCATAGAGCAATATGGAGCAGTAAAAGTCCAGTTTTGGCCACCAAAACCTCCCTGAAATGGGTCCCCGGGTGATGCAGAGTGAGGGGACGACCAGTATGGACCAGTTTGGACCAGTATAAACCAGTACAAACCAGTATAAACCACTATAGACCGCTGTGGTTGGGTTCAAACCAGTACAAACCAGTATAAACCAGTACAAACCAGTACAGCCCCATCTGGAACGCCCCCAGACCCCTCCCAGTATAAACCAGTGACCCCCAGTTCCATCCCAGTATAAACCAGTGACCCCAGACCCCTCCCAGTATAAACCAGTCCCCCCCAAACCCCTCCCAGTACAAACCAGT